AGCCTCACTATTCCTTATGTCTGTTACTTTGTATCTCTTGGTCTACAGACACCCAGCTATTTCAAGCAATATTTCTTTTCTGATAAGCCTTTCCCAATTCCACCTCAGCTATTTCTTTAGACCTTGGCTTCCACTTTTGATCCCCTCAGCACTCCCTTTCTCAGAGCCTTGGGATCTAAAACTAGCCCTCTTGGTCCTTACACTCACAGCTTGAGGTAAACTTTTAACTACAGAAATCTCCTGAGTCCTTTTCCTGCTTTTTTCTTTCTACACTCAGGAGTCCCTACCAAGCTATTCACACAGAACTTTAGGGCTCCCTACTCCTTCACTTGGACTATTGACAACCAGGTTTCTTAGACTCAGAGAATTTCTTTTTCTTTAGGCTTTCTGGTATTCCTTCCCTTTGAATCCCAGACTCAGAAAACTTCTCTTTATTTTTGGCTCATTGAATTTCTTTTTTATTCATAGCCAGCCTAATAAATTTCACTTTATTATGGCTCACTGGATTTCTTTTTTCATTTGAATCCCTCTGCTGCTCACCACTTTATGTCACACACACCCAGTTCCCCTGTTCGTTCTTCTACACAACCCAGGTTCCCTTTCAGGCATGACATTTAATTTTCACTCTTTTCCGCTGCCATCAGTGGATTTCTTTTATCCACAATGTAAATTATTTCACTCCAACACAGGCTACCAATTATTGAAAGTTTTTATTAAAGTTACAGATGTTCTTTATTTATTTACTCAGAATCACAATCATTGAAATGTCTTCTTTTGTTTACTTATTTGCCATTTAATCAACGTGTGTCTTTTCTTGTTACTATTCTCACTTCTAACTTTGACTATCTAGCTCTTTCTCTAACCTCTGAAATCCTAACTTTAACTCTAACACATCCCTAACTGAAATCCTCAACTGATATCCCTAACTGAAGTCCCTAACTGATCTTTAACTGTCTTCCATTCTCTTCTTATATTTTCTTGGTTCTGCCCCTTCTGTTCAACAATTGGTTGTTAAATCAGGGTTCCAGTGTGATGGACAGGAGTGGTTACTGACCTGTCCGTCACAAGCAATTTTCCACATTTCCTTATACCATTCATCCATGGTAAACTTGTTGTTACTCATCCAGTTTCATAATATTATTGTAAGAGAGCAGTTCTTTTACCTTCTGGCATCAACTGAACACTCAGGTTCAAACTCCCTTAAAAATATGTTCTAAAATAGTAAGTACAGTAGGACCCCAGTATCTGCAGGGGATCAGTTCCAAACCGCCCCCCATGTCAAAAAATGTGGAAGTGTTAAACACAATGCATTGCATGGTCTCTGGCTCCTTCTAGTGGCCAGTCCTGCTAAATACATCCTGGAAATACATATACATACTGTATACAGTGGTGCCTCACTTAACAAGGTTAATCCGTTCCGGAAAAACCCTCGCTAAGTGATTTCACCACTAAGAGAAATTAAAAAGCCCATAGAAATGCATTAAAAAGCGATTAATGCGTTCCTATGGGCTTGAAAACTCACCTTAAAGCGAAGATCCTCCATAGGGGCAGCCATTTTCAGTGGGTGAAAACACAGCGGGTGGCCATAGGACCCAGGATGACTTCATGCTCCTGATCTCCCCCATCTCTTCCCCCCCCCTTGGCTCTGTTTAAAACAAACCAGTTCCGCCAATCTGGGGCCAGTTTGGTGAGAGGGAATCTCTGGTGAAATTGAGGGATTTCCCAACCTTAGGTGGAAAAAAAACCCACGGCTCCTCGACTTTCCGGCTGAGATTTTTCTTCCTCCTCCCCCCCAGCAGCACGGCCTCTTTTTTGCATGCAGCCGCCTGCGACGGGAAGGAGGGAGGCCGGAGCCCTTCGTGGGGTGGGTGGGTGCGGGTGTTTCTCTCTCCCCCCAACATACACATGCTGCTCCTCAGCCAATGCCCGGCCATCTCTTCCCCGCCACCCAATCCTGCTTCCTCCTCCTCCTCCTTCTCTTCCCCCCTTATTTTTGTTTAGGCCCTAAAGCCCGCCGGTCTCTGCCGGCGCCCACGTGCTTGCCTCTTCCAGCCTTTTGCTTCCTCTCGCTCTGGGCCCGGCCCTGCCCTGCCCAGGGCCGCTGGTGGCTGGGTTGGCCACCTCCTCCTCCTCCTCCTGGCTCCCACCCACGTCTGCCTGCTGCCGTGCCGGCCCTCGGGATCGGCATCAGCCTCTGCGATCCGGGCCAGCCCCACGTGCTTGGCGGGTCAGATCGGGTAGGATGCGTGCGGGAGGGGTAGGGGAGGGGGGAAGAATCCGGCTGGCCTTTCTCTCTCTCCCCTCCCCTTTCCCCGTCCTCTCTTCTGCGTGCTCACAAGGCACCCGGCCGCTGTCACCACATGGGCCTGGCTGCCTCCCTTTGCCTCCTTGCCTGCCTGCTTTCGTTCCTTCCTTCCGCTCTCCCTCCTCTGGGCCGCCACTGGTACAAGTGTCCTTGGAGCAAGCGGACCGGAACCTGTCTGCCTTCTTGGCCGGTTGTGGACCAGGGCTGCGGGGGTGAGTGGAGGAGAGACGGAACACCCAAACCCCGTTGAGAAGGGGTGTTTTTTTTAACTTCCATGTGCTACCGGCGGTGGCTTCCAGGCGGACCATGGCCTGTCTGCCTTCTTGGCTGATTGTGGACCAGGGCTGTGGGGGTGAGTGGAGGAGAGATGGAACACCCAAACCCCGTCGAGAAGGGGTGTTTTTTTTTTTTTACTTCCATGTGCTACCGGCGGTGGCTTCCAGTTCTTCTCTCTCTCCGCCCTCCTTTTACTGGAAAATGGGGCTTTGTGATGATCGCTTCCCTGCGATCATCACAAAGTGAAAAAACCCCATAGGGACCATTGTAAAGCGATCGCTTCTGCAATCGCAAAAAGTCCCTCAGTAAGCGATTTCATCGCTCTACGGAACAATCGCTATGCGAGGCACCACTGTATATTTATGAGGTTTTTTATTTAGTATTCTCAAGCAGTGGAAAAATGAATCAGAGGATACTGATCCCGTGGGTAGAGGGATCCTACTGAAATTGCAAGATAGTTAAACATCAGACAGGGAATAGAACAAACACATTTGATGGACATAGTTACTTCATTCTTCTAAAGAAAACCAAAATTATTATTCTTTTTCCGACTTTTTAATAATACAAAGATGGCCTTTCTCTTCTGGAAGCCTGTTGCAGCTTTCTCATACATCAAAGAGCTGCAATCTATATGGGAAATAGCCTGGCAGTAGCCTACCGGACTCAATGTAGTAATTACACAGAACCCCATTCCTGAATTCCATGTTTTCAAAAATGTGGCATTAATGAGTGTCTGCTCCCCCCCCCCAAGTAGTTCTAAATGTAACTTGAAAGTGACAAAGTGCACAGAACAGTCTAACATATTCATCTGCTAATTCCGCCATCTCAAAATCCAAGATTTCTCCATCAGATAGCTTTTTCTCCCCACCCTCCAGTTTGTTTAACATTTAAACCAGAGAGGAATCTGTGGCCATCCAGATGTTACTGCTCAGTATCAGCTAAACTGGCTAGGATGGCAGTAACTGGCTATAAAATTGGAGGGAAGAAGTTGCTCATCTCTATTCTAGGTTAATGAAGAGCTGTGCATTGTTAGGCCTTAATATAAGACACTGATATAGTCTTGAGCTACTTGGAGGGAAATCAGCATACGTATAAATGTAATTATTATGACATAGTATGGGATTTTCCTGATGAGATTTATCTCAGGACTAAGCAAACTCAGTTCATAGATATGAATGAACTGGAATGTTTACTGAGGTTTTAAATCTCCTGAAACTCTGCATTTGATAGTACTGTAGAAATACACCAAAGAAATTGCCTGCACATCCTTTTGGGGGTGGGGGGGCAGAAATTTGCACTTATTTCCGTACTTTATCTTCAGCACTTCTATATCCTCTTTGTAACCCAAGAGTTCAGAGGGGTTCCAGTACATTAATATACTGGAACTCCTCCTTTTAAAAAATGGGTATTGAAGCTGTAGAAAAACCACATTCCTTAGAATAGCTTACTAATATAGACAATACTCATCCTGAAAAGCCAAGATATAATCTATGTTTCTTTCTGGCTTTTTCCTCTGTTTTGTGGAAAGAGAAACAAACCAAAGTGCCCGGTTTGAATGTCACCAAAAAAAACAAACCACAGACTGGCTTGTTTCTCTACTCCTGCTCACAGTGGGAACAATCACACAGTCTACAAAAAGAATGTTTCAAAGTAAGCCAGACTTTCCAAGACTTCTGGCTTACTGTGACATGGAAATTCATCCATTTAACTTTAAAAGTCCAACTAGTTTCCCAAACAAGGGGGAAAACCAACTGGCAACGAAGATTGATTTTACAACAGTCCTAAGCACACACTTGGTTTATAGCACTGACTGCAACATTACGATATATATAACTTGTATATATTTCAAAGTTCTCACGGAACAAAGCTGCATAGATGTGCTTGTGCAGAAATACAGCCATGGCAATCGATCAAGAGGATGCATTTTGCTTTTTTATTGGCTGTACATACAGATACACATTGATATGTATAAGCATGAAGGAGGATAACATTAGATACATCTTTTTTTCCCTCTATGTTCCCAAACTGCATCCCTTGTTTATCCATTACAGGCTTCAGTAATTAACTATCTTGCTTAAAGTTAACAAGTGAAGTGGAACTTACATTCAAATGACGAAAATCCTCTTGCATAGCTAGGTAAACAGTAAAACTTTTGGAGGCAAATTGCTCCAGGTTAAGAAATCTCCATAGACATTATCAGTTCACACTGAGCTGCATATATCAGTGCGCAACTAATAATGTCTATGGTGATTTTTTTAACTTGGGTCAGTTCGCCTCCAAAAGTTACACTGTCTCTGTTATGCCATCGTAACTAGGTAAACAGATTTGGGCCAATGAATGATGCTTCCCCGATTTCTATGTATAGCTATATTCAGTATTGAATAAAATGAAAGATACCAAATTTAAATAAATAACTCACTTTGTCAAAAGGAATTCCATATTTTTTCAATATTGAGGGTGAAATTAATGTCATCTTGTGGCGCAGAAAAGCATCACATCCTTGAGAGCTGCTTGGGAAAAATCCTAGCAAGGAAAACACAACATAATTGTATCAGTTATAGCCAGTATCTTTTTCATAATCTGCTGTATTCACAGTATACATTTATATACCAACTCCACCACAGTACTCTGGTCAGACATTATGTTATTTTCCTTGAGAAAAGAAAATGTCTGCTTTTAAAGTCTGTTTTATATAACTGAGCTCTTGTAAAGCTAAACAGAATACAAAAGGTTGCACAATCAATCAAGAATAATCCATACTTTCAGACTCTTGAACAATACATGTCACAGGAGTTCAATATCTGCTAATTCTTTTTGTTTGTTTTGTTGTTGTATGCTTAGACAATTATATTTACACAGAGGCAATTTTACAATGGTAGTAACTATGGAACATTTTATTTTCAGTCTTGTTGAAATGTAAAACTGATCACTTTTCCAGATATTTTGTAAATGTAAGCGCCAGTTCTGAACTCACCTCTAGGCAACAGAGGCTTCAGGGCCAGATATTTTTTACAGTGCTCCTCACAGCACTGCAGCAATCTGCTCCCTCCTGGGTCTTAAATTGGCCAACAGGAATGGCCAATGGGCAGCAGTAGTTTTCCAGGTAGATCTGTCACTCCCTGTCTACTGAAAGATTTTAAACTGTGTGCCAGCCACCCCAGAGTTCTCTTTTGTTCCCGAGCTTCTCCCAAACAAGCCCCCCTGTGTTGTTTGGGGTAGATTTGTTTCAAGTGGTGGAAACAAGCAGGTATTGGAAAGTAAATAGATAGTCAGTAAGTGGACTATGTTATGTAGATTTATGCCATAGCTTTATTGGAGGGGGTGGAAGCATGGGGATTTATCCACATGGTGGTGGTTGGGACACTGCAGGTGCAGGATGTTCTCCATAGTTGAGTCCCTTAATGAGGTTGGGGTGGTCATTCTCAAGGGCTGTTGTGTACCGCTACTCCTTGGGGAAGAGGCAGGTCTATGCAGTGGCCTATGTCAGAGTGGTTAACCCTGTACCTATCTCTCTGGTCTGCATCAGACACCAGACGGGGTGGCTGATGAGGATCTGTCCCCTATACTAGTGTTAGGGGTTACTGGCAGTTGTAACCAATAAAGTTGAGGCTAAATGTTATACAAAAACAGGTTGTATATGTGTGGTTATGCACATTCTGGCCCTGAGGCCACCATCACGTTCACTAACAATTACTGCACTGCACAATCACTGCACTGCTGGATTGTTGCCATGTGAGATTCAGATGCCTTTCCTCAAGCCTGCTGTTCTTTTATCTCTTTCTTTCAGGGGTCAAACCAAAGAATTGTGTCATAAGGATATGCAACCACACATCTGGACTACTTCCCACAGCAAATACAAGCAAATGACAGTCTTCACTAGCGAGGTATTCATGACCTGTGTAGCTTTGCTACTTTTCAAGAGTTGGATGGTGAGTGAAGGAGAGAAAAGGCAGCCAAAACCTCCAAAAGCTTCATACACAGGAGAAATCTTCAAATGGAACTAAAAAGTGTGGGAAACTTAACAACTAGAACCTCCGCAAGACACCAAGAATTCAGTTTACTGTGTTACTGTTGCCTTACTAGGAAAAACACACAAAACTGTATTCTGTCCCTGGGGAATATTTATATGAAAATGTGTCGGGCAAGTTACTGTTTTAATAAAGTTTCCTATATGTTTTATTATCATTTTGAGACTTACTTCCTTTATTGCCATTTCATAAAATACTTTTGCTGGTCAATGACCGTAATAAAACATGATGATGATGATGATGATGACGACGACGACGACAACGATTATTATTATTATTATTATTATTATTATTATTATTATTATTA